AAACATCACAATCAGTATCAGCATCATTATCATCATCATCGTCGCCATCGTCGTCCTCACGTCACCAGCATCTTCATAATCATAATCGATCTCATCATCCTCATCATCATCATCATCATCATCATCATCATCATCATCATCATCGTCAGCATCAGCATGTTCATCATCATCAGCATGAGCATCCTCACCATTAGCATCGTCATCATCATCATCACCACCACCACCATCATCACCACAATCAGAATCATCATCAGTATCATCATCAGCAGCATCACCAACATCATCATCATCATCAGCAGCAACATCATCATCACCATCGTCATCATCAGCATCATCATCATCAGCAGCAGCATCGTGAACATCATCGTAATCAGCATCGACAGCATCAGCATCAGAATCGGTATTGGCATCATCATCATCATCATCATCATCATCATCATCATCATCATCAGCATCAGCATCAGCATCACCAACAGAATCACCATCATCTGAATCATCATAAGCATCATCATCGCTAGCAGCATCATCATCACGAGTAGCATCATCAGCATCATCAGCATCGTCATCATCAGCATCATCACCATCATCGTCGTCATCATCATCGGTATCGTCATCATCATCATCATCAGCATCATCATCATCATCATCATCATCATCATCCTCGTCATCATCATCATCGTCGTCATCATCATCGTCATCAGCAGCATCAGCACCATCATCGTCACTATCAGCATCACCAACATCATCATCATCATCATCATCATCATCATCATCATCATCGTCTTCACAGCATAATAAGCATCATCATCAGCATCAGCATCATCATCATCATCATGATCATCATCATCATCATCATCATCATCATCATCATCATCATCATCATCATCATCAGCATGATCATCATCATCATCATCATCATCATCATCAGCAGCAGCAGCATCAGCATCAGCATCATCATCATCATCAGCATCATCATCATCAACATCACCATCATCATCATCCTCCTCCTCCTCCTCCTCCTCCTCTCCTCCTCCTCATCATCATCATCATCATATCATCATCATCATCATCATCATCATCATCATCATCATCATCATCATCATCATCATCATCATCATCATCATCATCATCATAATCATCATCATCATCATCATATCATATCATCATCATCATCATATCATCATTATCATCATCATCATCATCATCATCATCATCATCATCATCATCATCATCATCATCCTCATCATCATCATCATCATCATCATCATCATCATCATCATCATCATCATCATCATCATCATCATCATCATCATCATCATCATCATCATCATCATCATCATCATCATCATCCCGTCCACCAGCCTCCAGCGCCGCAAGCGCGGGGACACACGCGCTCATGGCCGCCGCGGGATTCATCAGAGGCCCCGGCCCCGCTGCCACCCGGGGCTTAGAGGCGACGGAAGTGCGGAGAGAAGGAGGAGGAGGAAGAATAGGAAGAACAGGAGGAGGAGGAGGAGGAGGAGGAGGAGGAGGGGAGGGAGGAGGAGGGAGGAGGAGGAGGAGGAGGAGGAGGAGGGGAAGAAGGGAGAGAACGAGGAGGACGGAGAGGGCGAAGGCGAGGGCGAGGGGGAGGGGGAAGCGAAGGTGGGGGAGGACGGGGGCCCGACGTGCCAGCCTTCTCGGGCGCTGCCTGCGTGCCTCGTGGGCTTGCCGCGGGACTCCCCCCAGAGGCCAGAGGAGCCCCAGGAAAGAGGCCACCCGGACGGCACACGAGCGCCCCGAAGGCGGCCCGAGGCGCCCCAGGCGGGCCCCGAGAGACCCCCCCAAGACGGCCCAGGCCCCCAAGACGAGCCCAAGAGGCCCCCCCAAGACGGCCCCAAAGAAGAAGAGGAAGAAGAGGAAGACCTGTTTCTTCAATGCAGTCCTCGGACTCTGTATGCAAGTGCGCTCGCAGCCCGAGCGAAGATACAAAATGTGAGAGAAGATGCATCTACACTAGCTTGTTACTGTGCCCACGTGCCAAAGAGTTGGGGCACGAACTGACATCTCGAGCATTCCACCCCGAGGCCCCCGAGGCGCCCCCAAGAGGCCCGAACAGGCCTCCAGGAGGCCCCCCACAATGCCCCCAAAGGGTCCGACCGAGAGGCATCGCAAGAGGCCCGAGTGTGCATCCAAGAGGCCTCCGGCCCACAACCCAGGCGAAGGCCCCTAGATGCAATATCATGAATTCATAAAACTGCACTCATTCTGTATGGACTCACTGTAACCCTTGACACATGCATGCGCGTCACGACGCATCTGCCCTGAGGGAGGACACAACAACAGCAGCAAGAGACAAGAGCGTATGATCCGCATGATGAGGGCCAAGAGCGGAGAGTGGCATAATCGATTTCAGCAAAAATAATCCCACTCCACCCCAGTTCATTGCAGGGGCGGTTTCCCACCACCTAGCCCCCCCTTTGCACTCATTTCATCCCTTCGCAACCTACCAACCCCCCCCGCCACCCTTGCTCCCTCACCGTCTTCATCTCACATTTCCCCTCCGTCTCCACGCCTATCTCCACCCTCCTCTTCCGCTTCCGCCTTCAATTCGCATCCCTTGAATCGATTATTGACGCCTTCATCGTCGCAAGCGGGATGCAAAAAAGTAACCAGTAAGCAGCTCAGTGTAATCAGGGTGCTGATGGTTATGGTAATGACAAGATTACATGCGTGGCCCAATTCGCTTTGGTGGAGCCGTACCACTTTGAGCATCCAGCGTTTCGTCCTCTCAATCTCACCAGTCGCATGGAGGACACCCAACAATCCACACATTAGATCTGAAACTGCCCTTTGGCTCCACTGAATTGTCAGAAAAATCAAACTCGAGAATAAGACGCTATCACCTGCACGCAACTCCGACAGCAGAGTCTGGTCACTTACTCGCTTCTCCGGCCACGGTGCCACAGACGCTCAATTCCCCAGCATAGAAGAGATGGTCTGAAGCGGGTCTCAAATAGCGTGAACAACGCTCGTGATACCACATACCATTCGACGCAGTTTCTGTCAACGTGGTACGCATGGTGCTGATGACAATGTTGGAGATGATGATCAGCTACAGTTCCCTGAGGCACGAGCTGGCGTGTCCTTAGGTCACTCGAGTTCTCCGTCCCAGTGCCGAAGATTCAATGATTAAGTGCACTGACCCAGCATTCGTTCAAGAGGGCCCAAAGAGCGACCCCAGACAGGCCGCAGAAGGAGAACCCGATCTGACATTTCGAGCCTCCACCCCAAAACGGTATCCGAGACCGCCAGCGGACCCCCAAGAAGCCTCCCAGAGACTCCAGGAGGCCCCCAAGAGGCCACATCGGACCCCAAGAGGCCCCCGAGAGATCCCAAGAACACCTCAAAACCGCACCCAAGAGGCTCCCGAGAAGTTTCCCTGGAGACCCCCACAGGCGTCCAAGAGACCTCTGACCTACTATCAAGACACGGTGGCGGGATGGGCCGACGGCCAATGGATCCGCCGTCCCCTGTGGCTTGCCACAGGGGTGCACGGCGTGCTGGATTTGAGATATTGTTGGGTACTCCGAGTTTCTTAATAAGAGACGGGGAGGCGTCATCCCCGCCGACAGCCCTATATCGACCCCCGTCGCGGGCAGCCACCGCGCGCCGAAGGCGCTCCAACCCCCGTCGCGGCGCGACGACGAAGCGGGGTTGACCCGCGTCAGGGGGGTAACCCCCCACACTTATCAAGAAACCCAGAGTAGGGTCTCGAGGGGGCCTTCGGTTCAACCTGCCGGCCACCCGGAAGAACGCGCAAGGGCGCATGAAGGCCTCCATGTCCAAACCAACCAAGATAGCCCAAGATCGCCACGCCTCCAAGACGGCCAAGATGGCCTCCAAGACAGTCCGAAGATACCTCCAAGACGGCCAAGACGGCCCCAAGACGGCCCAAGATGTCCTCCAGACGGCCCAAGCAGCCTCTAAAACGCACCAAGAAGGCTCCAGGAGGACCTCCAGAAAGCCAAAGCCCGTGCTGTTCCGCATGTGCTTCGATGATTTTAGCGCTCTCGCCCCCAGGAGGCCCGCCCCCAGAAGGCCCCCCCGAGGCCCCTTAAAGCGCCAAAAAAAACTGGAAGCCCCCAGGAGGCCCCAAGGGGGCCTCAAGAGGCCTCCTCCTCCTCCTCCTCCTCCTCCTCCTCCTCCTCCTCCTCCTCCTCCTCCTACCTCCTCCCTCCTCCTCCTCCTCCTCCTCCCTCCCTCCTCCTCCTCCTCCTCCTCCTCCTTCTCCTCCTCCTCCCTCCTCCTCCTCCTCCTCCTCCTCCTCCTCCTCCTCCTCCTCCTCCTCCTCCTCCTCCTCCTCCTCCTCCTCCTCCTCCTCCTCCTCCTCCTCCTCCTCCTCCCTCTTTTCCTCCTGCTTCTCCCCCACTTCCTCCCTCTCCTCATCCTTTCTATTCATCTCCCCAATGTTCTGCCAAGGCGCTCCACAACGGCTGGTGGAACACGCAGTCCTATAGATTTGGCTGAGCTCTGGCCGCAAACTTCGACCCCATAGGCACTTCCAGAAGACAGGGGGCGGCGGTGATTCGACGTAGACGTATTCGATGATGATGCTGATGATGCTGATGATGATGATGAAGATGATGATAATGCTGATGATGCTGATGATGCTGATGATGCTGATGATGCTGATGATGATGATGCTAATGATGCTGATAGTGATGATACTGATGATGATGAGGAGCAGGATGAGGATGCGGATGAGGATGAGGATGAGGATGATGATGATGGTGATGATGATGAAGGTACTGATGATGATTATGATGATGAGAATGATGAATATGGTGATGAGCATGATGATGATGCTGATGATGCTGTTGGTAATGGTCATGTTTATTATGTTGATGATGATGATGATGCTGATGATGATGATGATGGTGATGATGATGATGATGGTGATGATGGTGATGGTGATGATGACGGTGATGGTGATGATGCTGCTGCGGCTGCTGATGATAGTGATGACAGACGAGTATCAGGCGCCCACCAATGGTCACGGTTCGCTGGTCTTGGCTACAAAACTTAGGCTCTCTGCGAAACTCAGCTGGCCGACCTCAAGGGGCATCCAGTGTCAAGATGCTTCGGATCAACCGAACAGCGAATGCCAGTTCTGATTTGTAGCGTAGTCGCAGTACTTTTTGCCGTCCCCTGTATTCAGCACGCACGCGTGGCCTCCACAGGAACCACTGCTTGCGGAGCAAGCCACAAGAAAATTCCAACCAAACCAGGAGCATGTACATTCTTGGCGGTTCCGTGCAAACGCGTAAGGAACGCACTGGCCATTGTAGCAAGCAGTTGAATACTCATCGTAGCTAAGCTCGTGGTTCTTGCACTTCCCACTACCCCACCAGCCGTCCCAACAGGACTCCTTCGGCGAAATGTAGCGGACCTTACGAAAGCATTTCTTATTTCTTGATGTGTATCCCGAATCGCAGAACCAGCCGTCCTTGGGCTTACTTTCGGGAGAACCCGAGGGAGCGATGCAGCCTTGCTGCGACCACTGATTATTTAGCACCATCTTCTCGCAATAGACCGATTCTGTCGTGCCGGTGACGTCAAGGTCGCTGTTGTGGGAATGAATCTGCCCTTCGGCGACGTAGATCTTCTTCACAGCACAACGGCCCGTGGACGGGGGGGAGAACGACAATTGGTCGATGTCGCACATTGTATCGGGGCACTTGCAGACGGTTGTGCCAGACGTAGCCGTGCACGCTGGGGTGTTGGCCGGTGGCTTCCCAGCCCAACAGTTGCCAAGCTTTGCCGAGTCCCTCTCGTAGCAAAATATGCTGGAGCTGGAATATTCTGATTTGTTTGCCCTTGTTGCGTCTGCTGACACGCCGTGGAAATTTGTGCCAACAGCTTCTGCCCTGTCTTGAAGCGAATCAGTTTCGGCGAACCCCGCTTCCTCCGGGAGATCAAGAGCCAAGACACCAGCGGCGTCTACCGCAATCGACTTCTGACTTCCTTTAGAATCATGCCGGATGATGCTCTGAGCAGATGTGGACTCGCAAGCCCGAAGGAATGTCAGGAGCAAGACGAAGCTGCTGCAAGACTGCATGTGACCTTCAGTTCTCGCTCTCTCAGGTTGCGCGGATTTCTTTAGGGCTTAAGAACGCCGACAATCGCCTGCTTGAACCCAAATGGCAACAGACGGTGATGATGCCGCAAAGCTTCTTGCCTTGCTTAATTTTCGTGCCTGAGACTTGGGGCATGGGGTGAGGCTCACTACTCGGCATCAAATTTTCGTCAAACATACGCTGTTAAAAATACTAACGAGCTCTCAGTACAGGGGAGAATGGTCCGCGCTGTCGCAATCCTACTGTCTGAGAAAGTCTCCATAGCAGTTCTGACGATGAACACAGCCAGAGAAAGGACGACACACTAGGCACCAGGCACAAACTAGGCTTGTTTCTGGGCCCGTGCGCGTGGAGAGTGGGAAGGTTGCTCTGAAACTTGGCTTCATGGGATTCAAACCTTCCGGGTGAAGCCAGTGACGCGCAACAAACGTGTTGAGTCCGCCGACTCCGCTTGCCCAGGGTGAAAAGGCATTTGAGATAAGTGGCCGTCCCCCCTCCCCCTTTCCACCCCTCCCAGGGTCCAAAATCTCGGTCGAGGACCCCCCTCGCGTGGAGCACGAGCTACCTAACGCACCCATGGAGCCATCGGAGCATCCAAAACCGTTTTCCACGGCCTGCAAGATGCCCAAGATGCTTCTTAAGATGGCTCCACAAGAGCTCCAACGCGCCAAAGAGGCATCGGGAACGCCGAAGATAGCCTCGAGACGGCCCGAGATTTAGAAAAAATACCCCAAGAGAAATCCCAAGAGAGCCCCGAAAGGCAAAGAAACATTGATGTTCAACAGGTTGTTCGATGAGTTTCGCGTCCTCACCTTGGCAAGAGTCGGCAAGCCTCCCAGACTGGTCCAACAAAGCCCAAACGGCAACAACAAAAAAGTCAAGAGGGCCCCAAATGGGGCTCAACACAAGATCATAACCCAGATCCCCAAGACGCTCCCAGCAGGCCCCCAAGAAGCCCCCTGAAGGACCCTGGCAGCCCCCGGGAGCCCTGAAAAAGCTCCAAGAGGCCGCCCCCCAGGCTTCCAAGAGGCCCCCAAACGCTCCGCAACAGATGCAGAGGGATAAGAGGACGAATCAGCAACAACTACACGCAGAAAGCACGCTGAAAAGTGTAAAACGGCACGCACACACACACACACACACACACACACACACACACACACACACACACACACACACACACACACACACACACACACACGCATAAAGAACGGACGTCGCACAGCTCCTCTTCTAAGGGTCGGCGGAATCACGTCAGCCCCCTGAACAAGCTGACCAAAAACTACCCATGCGTAACATGGCACAAAAAACAGAGGCGAAGCACACTCAACGCATCTCGACCATCATGCCATCAGCTGATATGACACATTCGCCGAATAGCCGCCTCTTGGCCGACACGTGGGCGCCAAGCACTTGGGGGATACGGCCAGGTTGCGCCTCGTTGCCGCCTGTGCCGTTTCGTGGCTGCGCCCTGCGCAAGGGGGTATGCCGAGGTTGCGCCACGCTGCCTCCCGTGCCGCCTCGTGGGCGAAACGTGCTCCGAAGTCGTCGCTTACAGCCGGCACCGCCTGGCTTACACCGCGTAGATTACACAACATAGCTTGCAACACATAGACTACACTCCTTACTTTCCACATCCAAATCACACTACCTGGCGTACACCAAACACCTTAAACCAAATATCGTTCGCCTCACCAGCTCACTTCACGTAAATTTACACCACGTCGCGAACACCGCACAGCGTTCACCTCCACTGCGAACTCACTCACAATGTGGGGTCCACGCAAAAACAAAAGTAAAAACAAAAAACGATACTACACCCAGCACTACGGACGTCTCCCTGGCCAAGAGACCCACATCCCGCAGGCCCTCTGGGCGTAAGTTCAGTGGCAAGCTTTTCTAAAACGACCCCATTGTCCCTCTTCCCCGTTTCCCGAGCTACGGAACAGGGGCGCCGCGACGAACGAGAGCGTCCAGGACGGCTCAAGCTCCCGCGAGGGCCTCCAGGATGGCACGCACAAACCTGGCCTCCATCATACCTCAAGAGGCCTCGAGGCCGCCCCAACGTGGCTCGAAATGCCCCCAGAGTCACATCATAATGCTCTCGAAGCACCCAGACCGCTCCATAACCTGAAGTGAATCGGCGAGTTTCGCCATTCCTGGCCAGCTCCGTGCGAAGCCGCATGTACAGTGCCACCACGCAGCGGCCCCCTGACTACTTCCCGGTGGTCTTGGCGGTGGCGGGGGTGTCCTTGGTCCTGTTCCGCTGGGCCAGGTGGCACCGCGAACGGGTTCGGGCCAGCAGCCGACGCAGTGCCGACCCGACCCCATGCTGCAAACGCGCCCGAGTGGCGACGATCGAGGGGGAGAACGGCGTTGTTTCTTCTATGGGGATGTCATCGGACGAGTTTTTCGAATGTTATCCGTCGGGTCCGGGGTACCGCTTGGCCGCCGATGCGAACGTGTACGAGTTCAGTTTCACGCTGGAGCCGATCGAGATTTTGGGGGGCCTCCTCTCGTCCCTGGGCCTTGACGAGAACGAGGGTTTCAACCTACGCAGTTTTGGATGCATCGATTCTTACTCTGGGGAGCCGGCGACGCACCAGTCGGCCTTTGTTCTGACCGAGTACGAGTCCAGTTTCACGCTCGATTCGCTCGAGTTCTTAGACACGAACCTCTCCCCGTCCATGGGCTCGGCCGGGCACGAGGATTTCGACGCGAATGACTCCTGGGACCCGCTCTACGGAGGGGGCGGCAAAGGCGGCAGCAGGACCTCGCAGCGGGTCCGGGCCGACAAGTCCCAGATTCAGGACCAGCCCATCGCCCTCGCGACGGCCGTCGCTGAGCTGCAGCGTGCGCAGATGGGCACCCGCACCACGCCGAAGGCTGGTCGTGCCGAGGCGCGGCCTTCAAAGCCCACCACCACGCGCCCTAGGCGTCAGAGGCGGCAGAGGGAGGACATCCCGATCGTCGCCAAGCTGCGCCCCCTGCTGTCCGTCGTGGACGGCGGCGTGAACGTCACGCAGACCCAGGTCATCTCCAAGCTTCGGGAGGTCATCTCGACCTTCACTCCGGGAGCATCGCCCTCGGCGCGGGACGCGCCCGAGGCTTCCCAAGAGAAAGAGCCGCCCCAGGTCAGGGCGCGTCTTTTTCAGGACCCCTGGGGACAGGCCAAGATCGTCACTTCCAGCGCGGTCCGGGCCTCCCTGGAGCAGTCCACCGAGCCCGTGGTGATCCTGGCGGCCACCCGCGCGGAGTACGAGCAGTGCGAGCGCGCGAGGAAGGCCCTCGGGAACCGCCAGAACATCACCTACGTCGTCTTGGACAGCAACGGCCCCGACTCGGTCCTCATCGAGGGCCAGCGCGGCCCCCGCTCCGCCAAGGCCAACATCACCTACCTCAGCGAGTCCGCGCCGAAGTGCGCTGGGCTCCACGCGGCTATGAAGGACGACGAGCCCGTCCCAGCCACCAAGCTGAAGCTGGTCAATTTTCGGATCACGATCTCCGCGGAGTTCGCCGACGAGACCCTCTTCCACGTCGCCTCTGCGGAGCCGCAGACCACCCCCGCCCTTGTCCTCGGGGACGTCCTCGCGGAGCGCGTGCTGCGCACCCGAGGTGCCATCGCCTACGACGCGGAGGTCACATGCATCGCCTCGACGACCGAGGCCAACGCTGCCGATTTCCGGACAGCAGTCCCACCGAGAGGTGCCTTCATCATGCAGCAGGACGCCCCCATCGCCCCGCGATGGCTCTCCCGGAGGGCCGACGAGGAGGACGAGGAAGGCACCCGCAAGCACTACGACCGGGTCTGCCAGCTTGCCCAGCAGCGGCAGGGCCACATGTTGCACCGCCCTCACGGAAAATCCCAACTGGGAGTCGCTGGCGCCGCTGGGGTACATCCTGGAGAGGCTGATGCCATCAAATGGCATGTGCGGAATGCACCCGCGCACATGGTCACTGCCCAAGAATTCACCAACTGGGCCACGGAGCGCGGCTTCCAGAACGTCGCCAACGCAGCCAGAGCAGGCGCCCGCGCGTGGACCTTCTTCGGGGACACGCCGGCGGGCGTCGTGGCCACAGTCCACACCTTCAAGTCCGGAGCCGTCGTGTCTCGGGCTTTCTCGAAGAACGGCGCCCCCGCCAAGGCCGCCCGCCAGGCGACCAGCAAGGAGGCCCGCCAACGCTGGGGAGCTCCCAAGGCTTCGCCCCAGTACGACGCCGCTGTCGCCCCCCCGCCTGCCGAGGAGAGGGCCGCCGCCCCCGGACGCCCCCTCGGGCGCCGCTGCCGCCGCCGCCGCCGCCGACTGCGACCCTGCGGGCGGAGCTCGCAAAGCTGGAGCCGCCCCGCACGAGGCGGCGCCCCCGAACAAGCACGCCAAGGGCGAGAACGGCAAGCCAGTCCCGGCTGGCCCGCCCGCCCCACCTTTCACGAAGTTTTTCAACGTCCGAGCCTGTGGCCGCGGTGGGGACTGCATGTACATCGCCGTCGCAAAAGGCCTGGCCGCCATCACGCCGTCCAAGAGCATCCCGACCGCCGACGACTTCGAGCCCGGCGGCCGGCCCCAGGACAATCTCCGCCTCGCTGCGCAGGAGGAGGCCCTCAAGAAGACGTTCAAGGCGACCACGGCGGACGCCGACAAGATCGGCACTACAGGAACGCCTGCCTCCTCCCTGGCCGTCCGGCTGCTCGCAAAGCGGCTGAACGTCGACATCTACGCGCGGCCCCGCGCGCCGGGCGCGGAGCAGTGGGTGCTCTACGGCCGGGAGCGCGGAGGGAAGCTACGGAAGAAAGAGCTGTGGTTGAAGTTGGAGGACCACCACTACGAGTGGTTCCAGCCGAAGCCGGACCAGCAGGAGACGACCGAGCACCGCCAGACCCTCGATTGCTGGCGCGAGAAGGCCATGGGCTACCCGACCAGCGGCCCGCAGGGAAAGGGCCGCTCGCTCGACCCCGACGCCGCGTCCATCCTGGGCATTCCGGCCCCATCCAGCAGGGCCGCCTCAAGCCGCGCGCCGGCGCCGCGTCTCGACCCCGAGGCCATGTCCATCCTGGGCATTCCCGCCCCTCCAAGCACGGCAGCCGCCAGCCGTGCCCCTACGCGCCGCCCCGCGGCTGCCTCCTCCAGGGGAGCCCGAAGCATCCTCGGCATCCCCGCCGACGACCCAGACGATGAGATGCCAGTTGCCTACGCCAAAGGCGACTACCTCAAGTGCCCCTGCGGCCAGCGGGCGCCACCGGCCCCCCCTGCCCACCTCTCGGGGAGCCAAGCCTCAGCCTGGCAGTGCAACAAGGCCACCGTCCACTGGCGGGAGCGCCAGGGCGCCGTCCCCCCAGGCTGGAAGACCAGCCCGGCAGCGTCAGCCGCCGCGCCATTCAAGCAAGCTTCTGGGCCCGGCCTGCCTTTCGCGAGGCCCGCCGCGCGAAGCTTTTCGCAGCACACTTGAAATGGAAGGCGGCCTTGCCGGCGAGCGTCCAGCCGGGTGGGCGCAGCCCCGATGAGCGCACGGTGTCCTCCAAGGCCCTTAAGGGCGGGAGCATCCAGCACCACTACACGTGTTCTACATGCAGCAAAAGTACTCACCTGACCCAGTTCAGGTACTACCCATGCAGGGCCCGGCCTGCCACCATGACGCGCCTCTCCATGCCCACGGCGATGCGCGGAGAGGGGGCCGCCAACAGGGCCCACCAGGCGGAGAGTGCAAGCCGCAGGCGGTTTGCCAAGACCTACGCTACCAGGCGGAAGGAGCTCTACAAGATTCGCTACGCCGACCCCGAGCAGCGGAAGACGAAGCAGCTGAAGGACAAGATCCGCTTCGCGAAGTACCGCACCGAACAGAAGCACATCGCCCCCCAGAAGCGCCTGAGCCAGGAGCGCCGCACGGCGAAGGTCGCCAAGACGCGGCCCGCCGCGGCTCGCTGAAGGCGCCCACCTGCCGTAGACCCCCTGCACGGCGGGGGCGGCGAGAAGGGGATGACGGAGCTGCAGGTCGCCACCCTCAACGTCACGAGCCTCCGGGCGGACCGCTTGGAGGAAATCTTTACGTGTCCTGCTCTTCGTCACGCACATGTTTTATGTCTTCAGGAGGTCCGGCTAGCCTCCGCCAAGCCCGCGCGGGTCACCAGACTCGCGCTCAAGTATGGTTGGCGCGTGGCGCGCTCCACGCCTCCACCCAGGAACGCCAAGCGCGCCGTTCAGCAGGGCGGCACTGCCATTTTCTGGCGCCCATCTCTTGGGCGTGTTGCTGTTCATCGAGCCGCTTCCCATCGTGAAGTTGCTATTCGTACCAAGCTGGGAGTTTTTACATCTGGGCATGGGCCAGCTGCAGTGCGCTCCGACCCCTGGATGGAGGAAGTCGTCAATTTCACATCCACCGTGGCTCGTGGTACTCCGCCGGTGCCGTGGTGCATCGCTGGCGACCTGAACTGGCGCCCCTCTTACGTCAACGCGATGCCGACGC